ACTGTACAAAAATATTATCTGCCAGGCAAAGTGGCCCACACCTGTAATCCCAGCTACTTGGGAAGCTAAGGCATGAGAATCACCTGAATCTGGGAGGTACAGGTTGCAGTGAGCCAAGATTGTGCTACTGCACTCCAGCCTGGGCGACATAGCAAGACTCTAATTCCAAAAATAAACAAACAAACAAAAAAGGCCAGGCACGGTGGCTCATAACCGTAATCCTCACACTTTGGGAGGTCAAAGTTGACTGATTACCTGAGCTTAGGAGTTCAAGACTAGTCTGGGCAACATGGCAAAAACCCATCTCTACTAAAAATACAAAACATTAGCTGGGTATGGAGATACATGCCTGTAGTCCCAGCTACTCAGAAGGCTGAGGCAGGAAAATCACTTGATACGGGGAGGCAGAGGTTGCAGTGAGCCAAGATCACACCACTGCACTCCAGCCTGGGCAACAGAGCAAGACTGTGTCTCAAAAAAAAAAAAAAAAATTCTGACCAGGTGTAGTAGCTTATGCGTATAGTCACAGCACTTTTGAAGGACCAGGCGGGAGGACGAATTGAGTCCAGGAGTTGAAGACCAGCCTGAGCAATATGGTAAAACCCCATCTCTACAAAAAACTTTAAAAATTAGCCAGGTGTGGCAGCACATGCCTGTAGTCCCAGCTACTCAGGAGGATGAGGTGAGAGGATCACTTGAGCCCAGGAGTTTGAACTGCAGTGAGCTATAATCATACCACTACAATACACTCGTCTCAAAAAAAAATTTTTTTTCCTTCTTTATAACCTTATTCCAAAAGCTTTTTTCTCTTGTTAAAATTATTTTTTTTTTACTTTTTAAATGTTTTTGTTGTAAACTAAGACACAAGCTAGACATGTTGGCTCATGCCTATAATCCCAGTTCCTTTGGAGGAGGGGGTGGGTGGATCACCTGAGGCGAGGAGGTCGAGACCAGCCTGGACTACATGGCAAAACTCTGTCTCTACTAAAAATACAAAAACTAGCCAGGCGTGGTGGCAGGCACCTATAATCCCAGCTACTCAGGAGGCTGAGGCATGGCAATCACTTGAACCCAGGAGGCGGAGATTGCAGTGAGCTGAGATCGCACCACTGCACTCTAGCCTGAGTGACAGCAAAACTCTTTTGCTTGAGTTTATACAGCTATTCATTACTATTAATCAGGATTCAAACCCTGTCTCCCAAGTCCATATTGTTTCATTGCTTACACAAATGGATCGAAAACTGGATATAAATACTTAATTATAAACGCTTACAAGCTCAAAACACCTGAGATATCACCCAATCCAACTCCTTCATTTTGTATATAGGGAACTCAAAAAGACTAATCTATTCACCCTAAATACCCTATTCTTTTCTAAAGTAGCAATTCTCAAACTTTTTGGTCTCAAGACACTTTACATTCTTTTTGAGACAAGAGTCTTGCGCTGTCACCAGCTAGAGGGCAGTGGTGGGATGTCAGCTCACTGCAACCCTCAAATCCTGGGTTCAAGTGATTCTCCTGCCTTGGCCTCCCAAGTAGCTAGGACTACAGGCACGCTCTACCATGCCCAGCTAATTTTTGTATTTTTAGTAGAGACAGGGGTTTTACCATGTTGGCCTGGATGGTCTCAATCTCTTGATCTCATGATCCACCCGCCTTGGCTTCCCAAAGTGCTGGGATTATAGGCATGAGCCACCACACCTGGCCAACACTTTTACATCCGTAAAAAGTATTAAGGTCCCCAAAGACCCTTTGTCTATGTGGATTATATCTATTACTGCTTGTATTAGAAATTAACTGAGAACTTTTACAAATATTAACCTCTTTAAAAATAATAAACTCAATATATAATATAAATAACAATGTTGAAAATGATTATTTTTCAAAACCAAACAGTAAAGAAAACAGCACTATTTTTCATATTTTTGTGAATTTCTTTAAAGTCTGGCATCATAGAAGACAACTATATTCTCATATTTGCTTTTGCATTTAATCTGTTGCATATATTGGTTTGGTTGAAGTATACAAAGAAAATCCACCCTCATATAAATATGTAGTAGTAGGAAAGAAGGACCTCAGAGACCCCATGAAAAGG